GGTCAAAGTCCAACTTAATGAAATAAAACGTGAAGAAAAGATTAGAGAAAAAAGGATAAAAAGGAATGAGCAAAGTCTCCAAGAAATGTGGGACTATGTGAAAAGACCAAATTTACGTTTGATAGGTGTACCTGAATGCGACGGAGAGAATTAATCCAAGCTGGAAAATACCCTTCAGGATATTATTCAGGAAAATTTTCCTAAACTAGCAAAGCAGGTCAACATTCAACCCCAGGAAATACAGAGAACACCACAAAGATATTCCTCAAGAAGAGCAACCCCAAGGCACATAATCGTTAGATTCACCAGGGTTGAAACGAAGGAGAAAATACTAAGGGCAGCCAGAGAGAAAGGTCATGTTACCCACAAAGGCAAGCCTATCAGACTTACAGCAGATCTCTCAGCAGAAACTCTACAGGCCAGAAGAGAGTGGGGGCCAATATTCAACATCCTCAAAGAACAGAACCTTCAGCCCAGAATTTCATATCCAGCCAAACTAAGCTTCACAACTGAAGGAAAAATAAAATCTTTTATGAACAAGCAAGAACTCAGAGATTTTATTACCACCAGGCCTGCTTTACAAGAGCTTCTGAAAGAAGCATTACACACAGAAAGAAACAACCAGTATTAGCCTTTCTAAAAATACACCATAAAGTAAAGAGCACCAACATAAAGAAGAATTTATACCAACGAATGGATAAAACAGCCGGTCAACATCAAATGGCAGTAACCCTAAATATAAATTGACTAAATCCCCCAATCAAAAGACACAGCCAAAACCCAATGGCATGTTACATCCAGACCTGTTTCACATGCAAGGATACACAAAGACTCAAAACAAAGGGATGGAGAAAGATTTACCAACCAAATGGAGAGCAAAAATAAATAATAAATAAATAAAAAGCAGGAGTTGCAATTCTTGTATCAGATAAAATAGATTTTAAAGCAACAAAGATACAGTGGTAAAAGGATCAATGCAACAACAAGAGCTAACGATCCTAACACCCAGATACGAGACTTAGATTCAATGAGACAGAAAATTAATAAGGATATCAAGGACTTGAACTCAGATCCGGAACAAGTAAACTTAATAAATATTTATAGAGATCTCCACTTCAAATACACAAAATATACATTCTTGTCAATACCACATCACACCTACCCATAAGTTTAAATGAAACATTGATTGGCCATTATTAATACCCAATTTTTTCAAAATAAAGCAATATTTCCATTTACTCTCCCTCTTTTTCTTCCTCTTTCTTCCTCTCCTTTACTTATTTTTTTTTTCTTTCCTTCTCTCAAAAAAAAAAGAAATCAACTTGTAAACCTCTAGATCCAGGTCGGCCATGTCTCTCTCATTGCTTGATTTCCTTCCTTCCCTTCCCTCCCTCCCTCCCTCCATGCTTCCTCCCTTCCTTCCTTCCTTCATCCCTTTCTTCCTCCCTACCGTCCTTCTTCCCTCCCTTCCTGCCTTCCTCCCCGCCCCCCCCAAAAAAAAAAAAAAAACACTCAACAACTAGGAATAGAAGGAAATTACCTGAACATAGTAAAAACCATGTATGGAAAGAAACCACAGGGACTATTATATAGTAAATGGTGAAAGACTAAAAGCTTTCCCTCTAAGATCAGGAACAAGGCAAAGAGGCCCACTTTTGCCACTTGTCTTTAGCGTAGTACTGAACTTCTAGCCAGAGGAATGGGACAAGAAAAAAAATAGTTGAAAGTATCTAAGTTGGAAAGGAAGAAGTAAAAATCTCTGATATTATATGTATAATACCCTAAAAATTTTTCAAAAAACACCCATTAGAACTAATAAACAAATTCAGTAAAGTAGCAAGATACAAAATCAGCACCAAAAACATCACTTGTATGTCTCTATATTAACAATGGACAATCTGAAAAGGAAATCAAGAAAACTAATTTTCAGTAGCATCCAAAATAACCAAATACTTAGGAATTTATTTAACCAAGGAGGCAAAAGACTTGTATAATGAAAATGATGAAAGATTGCTGAAAGAAATTAGACGAATAAATGGGAAGACACCTCATTTTCATGGATTGGGAGATTCAGTGTTATTAAGATGTCAGTACTTAATATTATTAAGATTGCAAAGCAATCTTACACATTCAGTGCAATCCTTTTCAAAATCCCAATGACATTTTTTATAGAAATAAAGATATCTGTTCTAAAATTCTTACAGACTCTTAAGAGACCCTAAATAATCAAAATAGTCTTGAAAAAAGAAACAAAGTTTGACAACACACTCCCTGGTTTCAAAACTTGCTACAAAGCTACAGAGATAACATCAGTATGATACTGACATAAAGACAGATGTATAAACCAATGGAATATAATTAGGAGTTCAGAAAAACTATGTGTCTGTTGTCAACTGATTTTTGACAAGGGTGGCAAGACCATTCAGTGGTGGAAAGGACAGTCTTCAACAAACGGTGCTGGGAAAACTGGATATTCATATGCAAAAGAATTCAGTGGGACCTTTGCCTAACTATGTACACAAAAATTAACCCAAAATGGATCAAAAACCTAATGTAAGAGCTAAAACTATAAAACACTTAGAAAAAAACATAGGACAAAACTTCACAACATAAAGAACAAACTGCTGAGCATGGTGATGGGTGCCTGTAGTCCCAGCTACATGGGAGGCTGAGGCTCTTGAGGCCAGGAGTTTGAGGCTATAATGTGCTATAATCATGCCTGTGAATAGCCACTGCACTATACCCTGAGGAACATAGATCCCATCTCCAAAAAATAAAAAAAAAAGTAGACAAACTGGACTTTATGAAAATCAAAAACTTTTGTGCATCTTAAAAAGATTACCACACTTTGGGAGGCCAAGGCGAGTGGATCACGAGGTCAAGAGATCGAGACCATCCTGGTCAACATGGTGAAACCCTGTCTCTACTAAAAATACAAAAAATTAGCTGGGCACGGTGGCGCATGCCTGTAATCCCAGCTACTCAGGAGGCTGAGGCAGGAGAATTGCCTGAACCCAGGAGGCGGAGGTTGCCGTGAGCCGAGATCGCGCCATTGCACTCCAGCCTGGGTAACTAGAGCGAAACTCTGTCTCAAAAAAAAAAAAAAGATTACCGGGCAGGGCACAGAGGTTCATTCCTATAATCCCAGCACTTTGGGAGGCTGTGGCGGGTAGATTGCTGGAGACCAGCCTGGGCAACATGGTGAAACCCAATCTGTACAAAAAAAGAAAAAGAAAAATTATACATTAACAAAATAAAAAGATGTTACCAGCAGAGGAAAAAGGCAACTCATAGAACAGGAGAAAGCATTGATCTGACAAGAGATTGTTATTGCGAATACTTATAGAACACCTAAAATACAACAACAACAAAACAACTTGACTCAAAAATGGGCAAAGGACTTGAATAGACTTGGAATTTCTCCAAAGAAGCTGTACAAATTGGCAGTAAGCACATGAAAAGATGCTCAACATAACCAATCATTAGGGAAATGGAAATCAAAACCACCTCATACCCATTAGGATGACTACTATCAAAACAACAACAAAACCCCCAGAAAATAACAAGCATTGGTGATGATGTGGCGAAATTGGAACCTTTGCATACTGTTGGTGAGAATGTAAAATGATGTTGCCACTCTGAAAAACAGTACAGCTGTTTCTCAAAAAATTAAAAATAGAATTACTATAAAACCTAACAGTTTTACTTTTAGGCATATACACAAAAGAAAGCAGGGTCTAGAAGACATATTTATACATCCATCTTCTTCACAATAGCTAAAAATTGGAAATAACTCAAGTGTCCAGTAACAGATGATTGGTTAAGTAAAATATCATATATACATACAATGGAATATTATTGAGCCTTAAAAAGAAAGTTCTGACATATGCTACAACATGGATAAACCTTGAGAATACGATGCTTAGTGAAATAAGCCAGTCAGGAAAAGAAAAATATTATATGTTTCCACTTAAAGGAAGTACCAAGGGTAGTCAAATTCATAAAGACAGAAAATAGAATAGTGGATACCAGGAATTAGGGGGAAAGGGGAAATGGAGAGTTGCTGTTTAGTGGGTGCAGAATTTTAGGGAAAGATGAAAAGAGGTCTGGGCTGGGCGCAGTAGCTCACGCCTGTAATCCCAGCACTTTGGGAGGCCAAGGCAGGTGGATCACCTGAGGCCAGGAGTTCAAGACCAGCCTGGCCAACACGGTGAAACCCGTCTCTGATAAAAATACAAAAATTAGCCAGGCATGGTGGCGGGTGCCTGTAATCACAGCTACTTGGGAGGCTGAGGCAGGAGAATTGCTTGAAACATGGGAGGCAGAGGTTGCAGTGAGCTGAGACCACACCATTTTGCACTCCAGCATGGGCAACAAGAGTGAAACTGTCTCAAAAAAAATTAAAAAGAGTTCTGGATGGAACTGATGGTTGCACAACAATGTGAATTTATTCCACTGATTATACACTTAAAAATGATTAAGATGGTATATTTTAAGTATTTTACCACAGTTTTAAAAATTGGAGAAAACACTAGTGATCATAAAGCGTACCTGTGACTGATGCTGGTGTGAGACTTCTAATATGTTTAGGCTTTCCTTAAGTTGCAGGTTTTTAGAAATGATTAGTGACTGTGTAGAAACTGTACTCTTATAATTGTGGGAATACTACTTGTTGATTATTGGAGCAAGCTTTGGAATGCATTTATAGTAATTTTTTTTTCAGTTCTTAGGGCCAGTACCAACAAATGATAGAATGAGCTTGAAAAAGGTGTTTTGAAATTCTGTCAAGTATAATAGGATCGTACTTTTCTTTTGAACTACTTTGATGATGTTTCTGGAAATGATTAATATTCACTACATTATTTTGATTTCATTTATGTCCTTCTATATGTTTTTCTATTTAATAGACACATTTAGATCACAATAAGAATGTATTTGAGTGCCAGTAAGCCAGTAAACCTGACTTACCCTAGATTTTTGGTGTTCTGTTCTAAATTTAGATATCCAAAGAGAAGAAGAAAAAGTGAAACGATCTGTGAAAGATGCAGCCAAGAAGGGCCAGAAGGATGTCTGTGTAGTTCTGGCTAAGGAGATGATCAGGTCAAGGAAGGCCGTGAGCAAGCTGTATGCATCCAAAGCACACATGAACTCGGTACTCATGGGGATGAAGAACCAGCTCGGTAAGACTGCACTTACCTTACAGTCACCTTGTAAAGCCGATGTTGCTGTTACTACCAACACGTGTGTTCCTTTAATAGGAAAAACTCAACTTTGGTTTTTATTCTTTGTATTTTCTTAGTGTTGAGTGTTGTACAAATGCAAAATATAATAATATTGGTTGTTTTCTTTTGCCAGTGTTTTTAAAATAATAATGAAATCCACATATAAATCTGCTTTGTTTAGAAGTTAGAACGTATTGAACAGTGCTACCAAGTGACCTGAGAACTGAGTTGTAGGATTTAAGAGGCCAGCCTAGATGTTTGGAGGGAGGATGAAGAACAGTTCACTCCCTTTGTCTTAGGCCCAGAGCAGCCCCAGGCAAAATGTTAAAACACAGTGTTGGGCTTTGGCTTCCCTCCTTTTCTGCTTCATCTCTGTCTACGTGTTGCTTCCTCACATCTTAGGAATCTGCAGACCACATGATGGGTATTCGGCGTATGTGGGAACTGTCCATTTTACATAACTTTTAGGAACTCATAATATTTAAAATAAGAATAGTTATCATAATATTTCAAACAAGAATTTCCTTTCGGTGTCCAGTACAGTACTATTTGTGGTCGTTCATCTGGTTGATTTCTTTTCTTAAATTAGGAAGTCCTAACTCAGAATTACAGTTCTTTAGTAATGGCAGCATGTGACTGTTAGATATTTAGATTGAATACAGACTCAGGAATTATGGAGAGCCAGACATGGTGGGATGCAATTGCAGTCCCAGCTGCTCAGGAGGCTGAGCAAGGAGAATTAAGTGCTTGAGCCCAGGGGTGTGAGGCCACAGTGAGCGATGATTACACCTGTGAATAACCACTGCACTTGAACCTGGACAATATATATGTAGCAAGTCTGTGTCTGTAAAAAAGAAATTATGGAGACATTTTTCACTAAAGAATATTTTCAGCTCTCTGTCAGATACTTCATTGATCACACTCAAAAGAAGTTAGAAGATGAAGTGTTTTAATTTATAGGATGGTGCCAATTGAGTTTGTAATGCATTATTTGGTTGTATTTGGCTCTGGGTATTTTCTTCACCTTTAATTTTAACATTCGAATGTGGCTTTAAAATATGCCTTAACCATGAAGGTGTCATTAGTTTCTTTATCCAAAGACTGAAGAGAATAATCATGGACTGGGAAAGAGTAAAAATAATGACAAAATATACCACATCTTCTTTAAAAAAAAATCTATCAATATTATCTTCACTTTTATTTATTTTTATTTTTTATTTTTTGAGATGGAGTCTTGTTCTGTCACCCAGGCTGGAATGAAGTGGTGGGATCCCGGCTATGACAACTTCCACTTCCCAGGTTCAAGTGATTCTCCTGCCTCAACCTCCCGAGTAGCTGGGATTACAGGCACCCACCACTACGCCCAGCTAATTTTTGTATTTTTAGTAGAGACGGGGTTTTGCCATGTTACCCTGGCTGGTCTCGAACTCCTGACCTCAGGTGATCCACCTGCCTCAGCGCACTGCAAAGTGCTGGGATTACAGGCATGAGCCACCACTCCCAGCCTATCTTTACTTTTTTTTTTTTAATTTTAGTAAGAGTTACTTTTTTTTTTCTTTAATTGTACTTTAGGTTCTGGGGTACATGTGCAGATCATGCAGGATTGTTGCATAGGTACATACATGGCAAGGTGGTTTACCACCTTCATCCCCCCAATCTCTTAAATCTGGTATTTCTCCCCACGTTATCCCTCCCCACCCTCCCCACTCCCCGCTGTCCCTCCCCTAGCCCCTCAAGCTGACCGCAATGTGTGATGCTCCCCTCCCTGTGTCCACGTGTTCTCATTGTTCAACATCCGCCTATGAGTGAGAGCATTCGATGCTTGGTTTTCTGTTCTTGTGTCTGTTGCCTAAGAATGATAGTTTCCAGATTCATCCATGTCCCTTCCCTATGAAGGACACGAACTCATCAAATTTTATAGCTGCATAGTATTCCTTGGTGTATATGTGCCACATTATCCAGTCTGTCATTGATGGATATTTGGGTTGGTTCCAAGTCTGCTATTGTAAACAGTGCTGCAGTGAACATTCGTGTGCATGTGTCCTTATAGCAGAATGATTTATAATCCTTTGGATATATACACAGTAATGGGATTTCTGGCTCAAATAGAATTTCTATTTCTAGGTCCTTGAGGAATCGCCACACTGTCTTCCACAATGGTTGGGCTAATTTACACTCCCACCAACAGTGTAAAACTGTTCCTATTTCTCCACATTCTCTCCAGCATCTGTCGTCTCCAGATTGTTTAATGATCGCCGTTCTAACTGATGTGAGATGGTATTGCAATCTGGTTTTGATTTGCATCTCTCTAATGACCAGTGATGATGAGCATTTTCTCATATGATTGTTGGCCTCATATATGTCTTCTTTTAAAAAGGGTCTATTCATGTCCTTCGCCCACTTTTGAATGGGTTTGCTTTTTCTTGCAAATCTGTTTTAGTTCTTTGTAGATTCTGGATATTAGCCCTTTGTCAGATGGGTAGATCACAAAAATTTTTTCCCATCCTGTTGCCGGTTTGCTCTAGTGATTGTTTCTTTTGCTGTACAGAAGCTCTGGAGTTTAATTAGATCCCATTTATCTATTTTGGCTTTTGTTGCCATTGCTTTTGGTGTTTTAGCCATGAAGTCCTTGCCTATGCCTATGTCCTGAATGATTTTGCCTAGGTTTACTTCTAGGGTTTTTATGATGTTAGGTCTTATGTTTAGATCTTCAATCCATCTGGAGTTAATTTTAGTGTAGGGTGTCAGAAAGGGGTCCAGTTTCTGCTTTTTGCACATGGCTAGCCAGTTTTTCCAGTACCATTTATTGAACGGGGAATCCTTTCCCCATTGATTGTTTTTGTCAGGTTTGTCAAAGATCAGGTGATTGTAGATGTGTGGTGTTGCTTCTGAGGCCTCTGTTCTGTTCCATTGGTCTATGTCTCTGTTTTGGTACCAGTACCATGCTGTTTTGATTACTGTGGCCTTGTAGTATTGTTTGAAGTCAGGCAGCATGATGCCTCCAGCTTTGTTCTTTTTGCTTAGAATTGTCTTGGCTGTGTGGGCTCTCTTTTGGTTCCATATGAAGTTTGAAGTGGTTTTTTCAACTTCTGTGAAGAAGGTCATTGGTAGCTTGATGGGGATAGCATTGAATCTGTAAATTACTTTGGACAATATGGCCATTTTCACAATATTGATTCTTCCCAATCATGAGCATGGAATGTTTTTCCATCTGATTGTGTCCTCTCTTATTTCCTTGAGCAGTGGTTTGCCCTTTACATCCTTTGTTAGTTGTATTCCTAGGTGTTTTATTGTAGCAATTGTGAATGGGAGCTCGCTTTTGATTTGGCTCTCTGTTTGTCTGTTATTGGTGTATAGGAATGCTTGTAATTTCTGCATATTGACTTTGTATCCTGAGACTTTGCTGAAGTTGCTTATCAGTTTCAGGAGATTTTGGGCCGAGACAATGGGGTCTTCTAAGTATACAATCATGTCATCTGCAAATGGAGACAATTTGACTTCCTCCTTTCCTAATTGAATACCCTTTATTTCTTCTTACCTGATAGCTCTGGCGAGAACTTCCAAACTATATTGAATAAGAGTGGTAAGAGAGGGCATCCTTGTCTTGTGCCAGGTTTCAAAGGGAATGCTTTCAGTTTTTGCCCATTCAGTATGATATTGGCTGTGGGTTTGTTGTAAATAGCTTTTATTATTTTGTGATATGTTCCATTGATACCTAGTTTATTGAGAGTTTTTAGCATAAAGGGCTGCTGAATTTTGTTGAAGGCCTTCTCTGCATCTATTGAGATAATCGTGTGGTTTTTGTCTTTGGTTCTGTTTATGTGATGGATTGCGTTTATAGATTTGCATATGTTGAACCAGCCTTGCATCCCTGGGGTGAAGTCTACTTGATCATGATGAATAAACTTTTTGATTTGCTGTTGCATTCAGTTTGCCAGTATTTTATTGAAGATTTTTGCATCTAATTGGTCTGAAGTTTTCTTTTTTAGTTGAGTCTCTGCCAGGTTTTGGTATTAGGATGATGTTGGTCTCATAAAATGAGTTGGGGAGGATTCCCTCTTTTTGTATTGTTTGGAATAGTTTCAGAAGGTATGGTACCAGCACTTTGTACATCTGGTAGAATTCATCTGTAAACCCATCTGGACTTGGACTTTTTTTGATTGGTAGGCTATTAATTTCTGCCTTGATTTCAGCCCTTGTTATTGGTCTCTTCAGGGTTTCAACTTCTTCCTGGTTTAGTCTTGGGAGAGTGCAAGTGTCCAGGAATTTGTCCATTTCTTCCAGATTTACTGGTTTGTGTGCATAGAGTTGTTTGTAGTAATCTCTGATGGTAGTTTGTATTTCTGTGGAATCAGCAGTGATGTCCCCTTTATTGTTTTTTATTGCATCTATTTGATTCTTCTCTCTTTTCTGTATTAGTCTGGCTAGCTGTCTATTTTGTTGATCTTTTCAAAGAACCAGCTCCTGGATTTGTTGATTTTTTTTTTTTTTTTTGAAGAATTTTTTTGTGTCTCTATCTCCTTCAGTTCTGCTCTGATCTTAGTTATTTCTTGTCTTCTGCTAGCTTTTGAGGTTCTTTGATCTTGCTCCCCTAACTTTCAATTTTCATGATAGGGTGTCAATTTGAGATCTTTCCTTGCTCCTCATGTGGGCATTTATTGCTATGAATTTCCCTCTAGACACTGCTTTAAATGTGTCCCAGAGATTCTGGTACATTGTGTTTTCGTTCTCATTGGTTTTGAAGAACATCTTTATTTCTGCCTTCATTTCATCGTTTATTCAGTCGACATTCCAGAGCCAGTTGTTCAGTTTCCATGAAGTTGTGCGGTTTTGAGTGAGTTTCTTAATCCCGAGTTCTAATTTGATGGCACTGTGGTCTCAGAGACTGTTTGTTATGATTTGCATTCTTTTGCATTTGCTGAGGAGTGATTTACTTCCAATTATATGGTCGATTTTAG